GAATAAAATACATCTTAGTTACTAAGATCATGACCTTTTACAAAATTAAACAACTGTATTATCAAAGTATGTCTGTAAATCTGGCATGAAAGCATAGTTTATAAATCAAATTTTTATACAATTTAACGTTTTAACTTCTTAGTCTCAGAAAGAAATTTAAAGAAATCTGTAACATGTGATATGTCTGAGGTATGATTTCTTCACTTAGAATTTTTTAACTTCTAAAATAGGCTAATGCAGTTTCCAACCAATTAGGAACACAAACCTGCAAGAGAAGCCCCTTTTCTCTGTCTTTGACTTTCTAGATTGTTTGTTAATAAACTTTACATGGCTGCTAATTGACATATTTATAAACAATAGAAAGAGCTAATTCCTCTCTATCTAAATCTTACAATTGTGTATTCAGTTTTCTTGCTGTAACTGTTATTTGATGAGAATTGCTTAGTTTGTGTTCATCATATTTAATACAGAATAACAGAATTTTAACTATATATAGCATACACAGAAAGCAGGTAAATTGTAGTAGTATCAAGACATTCTGTTTCAGTGACTGGTATATATTTTGTGTTCTAAAATGTATATTTGAAACTTATATGGACACTTCAATGTGAGGGATGAACATCAGATATTTTTATTCAAGTGCAAATGACTGGAGTATACAGTGAGTACCACAGATACTTGTTTTTTATGTATTATTCTTATTTATTGTTATATACGTTTAAGAAAAGTAATTGAAATATAAAAATTATAAACTTCTCAGTGTAGCTGTACAAAACTTTAGTAAAATAAAAACCTAAAAATCCACTAGCTCCAGCATGATGTGAAACATGATACTTAAATCGTGTGCTGTTTACATTAGCTGTTTGGGAAACAACTAATGAGCTTCTGCTGTGATTTATTGCTTTTGACAGAAGGTTTACTGCTCAAGTGGGTATAAAGTAGAGCAATAAAACTAAAATTAAAGAAAATGTGGAAGGTTAACTTGGAACTTTTTGAGTAATATTGCAGTCAGTGCAGAGTAAAAAATATTATTAATTGTATTTCACATTTTTCAACTTTTCATTTCATTGTACATTAATTATTTCTCTACAGTTAATGTTAGGGTTGAGAAGATAAGAGATAAAATACAAAGTTCTACCAAAAAAATTGAACCTGATATTAATTTAGAGCATCTATAGGTTATGCTAATGATGCATGGAAACTATAATGAAAATGATAATTTTTGTTCTTATCATGAAAACCACCATGCACGCTGGAAAGGCTTCGGAAACTCGTAAATGAACCTTTAGTAGAAATAAGTTAGTAAAAAATCTGGTGTTTTATGTTTAATAAAAGCTTGCCAAATTTTGTTAAGATGCACTTAGTAAATTCAGAATAATTATATGGTTTAACAGCTCCAAGTTGTGTCAGATTGATCAATTTTATTCATATAAGGTTAAGTCAGTTTTATTTCAAAATAAAGAGTGGATTTATATTTTAGTTTTTCTCAATGGTGAATGTGCAGGGACAACTGTAAAAGACCAAATTCTCCCTTATGTCTACTTTTATTTTACAATTACATATGCAAACTTTTTTATTATGCATGCCACAAGTCTTCCACACACCCTTATTGGAATCAAATGATTCCAATGTGCGTCTCATGCAAATCATCATGTGTCACCTATCCACCAGTAGGAGCATAGTACATTCATGTGATGCATGTGACTCCCTCTATGCACCTCTACCAAACTATTACTTCTCATTTGGCAGCACTTGCACTCAGATATTTATCTTTCTTTTTTTTGCCTGTTTTGTATTTGAGATTGTATTTTCTCAAAGTGGTTTTATTTAATTTACAATACTCAGTTTCATTTACATTATTTCAATTCATTTACTCTTATTCTAGGCGCATTTCTTATTTAATTGAAACGTTTTGTTGACGACATCAACATGAATTCCGAAGTTCATGTCACCACTTTGGGTGGCACACAATCGACAGGCACTGTATCACAGGCTTCAGGTGCTGATGACCCGACAGATGATTTTAGCAGTACCTTTTCACAATTCGTCTCTTGTCTAAGGCTCTTCACAGAAATCCTGAGGAGTTTTCTGGGGACACCCTCTTCCTTCTTACCTCCATGTTTGCACGTTTATCATCTTCGGCTCTAGCTTTACAAACGTGGTATCTTTGTTGTTGGGACCTTTTAAGTGTGATGCTGTTTTATTTCAGACCTGTTTACCTGCTCCTTATCTTCAAGAT